TTGTTATAAGAAGTGTAAGCTGACCCTTACAACAGCATATACAACATTGCTCTGTTTGTGCCGGGGCACCGGATCTTTGGGGTGAACCAGCCTTTGCCGTAATGTGTTTTGGGGTTTGAAAGCCATGGAGGCAGGGCTTAAAAGCCTGAATTTTGCCTGAAACTCTCAGACTGAAGAAGTCTCTTGGAGGAGAGACGAAACGTTTCATTAGAGAAGAACCCGTCCAGAAGACCTATATGTGTTTTTTGTTCTTTAACTGTCAGGGAGCGCAGCGCTGTCAGTGCTGGAGGACACCTCATCAGAAAGCAGTGCTGTCAGCAGTAAGGATGCAGTCGAGAGCAAGACTAGGAGCAGTACAGCTCATGTGTCGGCCCAAAGACCAAACACCATGCACGACGAGCCACCTGTAAAGCAAGAGATCGAGGATCTGGGAGCAAATACCAGCGATGAAGATCAGGAGGATCTCCCTTACGATGGTGACCTTCAAAGCCCCTATTTCAACCACACAGCTAGCCCTTTGGAAAACTCAGACAGAGCTAATGGAAGTCCAGATCCGTTGTCTGAGTTGTTGCGAGACGATATGAAAACCAAACGTGACAACTCTCATGAAGCTCCCAAGCCTGTTGAAGAAACTCCACCGCACCCTGTTCCTGCAGACATTCACCGCTTGCTGCTGCGACACTTCTCAGAGCAGGAGCTGCTGCAGCCAGGTGGGCTGATTGAGGCGGAGACCCTCCCGGAGGTGTCCCTGCTGGAAAGCGTGGATGGCAGTGCCTTTAGCTTGGCTCCAGCACGCAAGAGTTCAGCAAGTCAAAATAACAAATCTGCATCTGAAAATGAAAGCTTAGAAGGAAAGACAGAGAAGGAAACTAATAATTCATCAGCTGACCAAAATGCACCCAGCTCAGGAAGTTCAAACCAGACCAGCAGGGACGTTGGTGCCGACGTGTCGAACCAAGAAGATGCAGAGGAGGATGACCCGGTTCTGAGAGCCCCGCTGGTGCGTGCACGATCCTTCAGTGAGATGAAATACGGCCAGGGTCAAGTTCATTACCCTCTCCCAGACTTCTCCAAGGTTGCTCCTAAGGTGATGTTCCCCAAACGTCCAAGTGGGCCAGCGAGATCTGTTCCTCAGTGTCCTAACCCCATGCACAGAGCCCAGTCTTCCCCGGGGACGTTAGAGGTGATCAGCAGARTCCTGGAGGATTCCATCCAGCTTCCAGAGAAGCCCTATGTCTTCACAGACTGTGACCAGTCAACTCAACCAGCTCTGGTGCATCACCTGCAGGTAGAAACCAGAACTGAATCCTCACTGTGCAGCCTGATGTTTAGATGTTAGGATTTTTTCATTTCATGACATTTGTAGAGCCTGTGGACTCTACAGGACTAACATCTTGTTGTTTCAGGCTGAATATGACAGATTATTGACCAAGTATGCAGAGGCAGAGAACCTCATCGATCAAATGAGACTAGGAACCAATGTAGGCAACGAGGTGCTTCAGGTTTTTTGCAGATCACACTGAAGCTGTTCTTTTTTTATCAGGTAACAAATCAATGTTTTTCTTTTCACAAACCCAGCCTTCTTCAGATGCAGCATTTAATTTGGAGTATAATGATGATGATGAGCAGGTTGAGTTTGATGAAGAGAGTCCCGTCAGACACTTGGTTTCTCATCTTCCCTCATCAGGTACGTTTCTGTGCTTCACACGTGTCACTGGTCAACCCTGAGCTTCACAACCTGCACATTATACAATAAAATACAAAAATAAATGGGTTAAGATGACAACACATTATCTACCTTTATAAACTGAGTACATAAAATAAGGAAATTAGCGTTTGGTAGATTATTTCTTTGTCGTAACACTGCTTCTTGGCAATAATTCTTATATTGGGCTCCTGATTGGCAGCACCTGGGGGTACCAGAAGCTGCAGCAAAATACAGTAAGCTGCTTTGCAGAGAAGATTTGGCAATTTTTTCACGTGCACAACCCACATACTTCACCCTACTTCTCATTCCATCAAATGCATATTCCTTACAAATGTGACACTTTACAGTAACAGGAGTATTAACAGGTTTTCCATTGGTATTAGATTTATTACCAAGAAACGTTGTTACAACAAATAATAATCTACCAAACACAACTTGAACAGAAACTGGACAAATCATCCTCACAAACTACCCCACCCTCCAAATTATTATTTTTTCAATCTGAAGCAAAAAATACAACCATTTTAATAAGTTTACTAGAAAGTTACTAGACATTTGTATTTATTTTGCCAGTACAAGCTGCAAAACAGTCAGAATAACTTACAAAGTATAAGATCAGTCAACTGCATGTGGGTCGAGAAATTTAACCCCAAAATCAAAGTTGTGAAGTAACTAAGTACAAATACTTTGTTACTGTACTTAAATAGAAATTTTGGTTATCTGTACTTTACTTGAGTAATTA